TCTGCATGGGTTCATCATCAATAACCTGGTTGGCTGTGTCTTCAAGTTTTTTAATTCAATTCCTTTAATTATTAAAAACAACAAAAACAAACCAAACTACCACGGCCATCGAGTTGATTCTGACTCACAGAGACCCTGTTTAGGGTTTCTGAGACTAAATCTTTATAGGAGGAGAGGGTCTCATCTTTCTTCCTCAGAACTGCTAGTGGGTACAAACCACTGACCAGGACTCCTGATTCCCCTCATTTCCTTGTTGTTGTTAAGTACTGTTGAGTCAGTTCCAATTCACAGAGACCCTTTATAGGGTTTCCGAGGAGCAGATGTGAACCACACCCTTGCAGTTCAAACCAACTTTGTGGTCCTGTGCTTATCCTACAGTGCCACACCAGGACTCCTGATTTCCTTCAGGTTGTTGTTAAGTGCCATCAAGTCGGTTCTGAGCCATAGTGACCCTGTATAGGGTTTCTGAGGAGCGACTGGTGAGCTTGAATCACTGACCTTGCAGTCTGGCACATTAACGCACAGAGCCACACCAGGACTCCCTAAAATCTAGAACACAACCTTACCTTGCAACTCAAGGGAAGTATAGCTATGTGTAGTTAGACAAATGTATTTCAAGTAGGTTGCTTTCCTGCCCACCAGCTTGAATCTGGGTTGTTGTTGTTGTTAAGTGTTGTTGAGTCAGCTCTGACTCATAGCGACCCTGCACAGGATTTCTGAGGAGCGGTTGGTGGGTTTGAACCACTGACTTTGTGGTTAGCAGCCTATTTCTTATCCTATAGCAAAAGTAGGGCAACATGTTCCCTTGGGATCCAAGCACCCCGCCTCCATTTGCAAACTAATACCCTCCTCTAGAGAAATTCTGGATGCCTGGTGTGGGGTTGCAGGATCAACACTGGACCACAACCACAAGGTCAGCAGTTCAAAACCTCCAATTGCACATTGGAAACCCTATGCAAAGTCTCTATGAGTCAGGACAGACTCCACAGCACTTTACAACAAGAGAAAAATTCTGGTTTCATTTCCTCTCAGGCATAAGTTGTCTCTAGTGTTTTTTTTATATAGAAATCTAGTAACAAACACTTCAATTTAAGTATCCCAACTTAGGTGGCATCTGTGTTTTTCTGTATAGAAAAGCATGCAGGAAAAGTCTTTAGATTACAAAGATCTCATTGCCACTGGGCAGTGAGTCTTTTGACTTCTGAAAAATGTTCCTCCCTCTGCAATGTTCCCTGCTCTGGGAAGGTGAAGAATGATCACATCCCAGCTTGCCACCCTTTCTGATTGCCAAGGTCTTGTGTCTCTTCAGAGGCTCCTCTCTAATCAAGGCTTACAGTGTTAAATATTTATTGTGTTGGGTTGAAGGTGGGGAACTGATTTTTCTTAGATTTTTATCCCAGATTTTCTCCTCCTTCTTTTATAAATAAAAAGGATCAGCACTAGATAGTAATGGAAAGAGAACTGGGCTGTGAGCCAGCCAGTTCTTGCCCTGCCAAAGAGCCGTGTTACCTTCTTGTTGTTGTTGTTGTGTGCCGTGGAGTCGGTTCCGACTCATAGCGACCCTGTACAGGGTTTCTGAGGCTGTAAATCTTTACGGGAGCAGAAAGCCTCATCTTTCTTCCACAGAATAGCTGGTAGTTTCGAACTGCTGACCTTGTGGTTTGCAGCCCGATTTGTAACCACTACACTACCAGAGCTCCTTACCTTGGTACCGTATAAATCATCAATCCATAAATCAGGAGCTTGGAGCAGATGATCACTTGACTAACCTAATCCTGAAATGCTGTGATTTCTTTAAAAATATTTTTTGAATCTGCTAAGCCTCCTGAGCCTGTCCTGGTTTAGAGAATTGTTTTTTTAATTTTTATTTCATGTATTTCTACAGTTGTGTTACTGATCAGTGTTTGCGGGCAGCCCCATTGTTCATCACTTACACGTATGAAGTCTTAATTCTCATAGTGACTGCTTCCCATCTTTCAAGTGAAAACATTGGGCTTGAAGATCTCTGATTTACCCATGTTCATATGGAAAGTTCATGGTAGAGAAAGGGCTCATGCCTAGTAGTGAACGAACCCAACACTCATATGCTTCTCTGTAAGAGCCCAGTAGCACTCTAGGATCGGCACACATCAAAACACAAGGTGAACAGCTCAAAGCCACTAGGTGCTCCATGGAGAAGCATGAGGCTTTTTGCTCCTATAAAGATTTACAGTCTCGGATACCCTATCCTTGTTACTGTAAGTCGGAATCAACACAGTGGCAGTGGGTTTTGTTTTGTGTTTTTAACTCTCTCTGGATACTGAGGGAAAATAGACATTTATAATTCTTTTGTTGTTGTTATGTTTAGGCGCCATGAGTAATTATTTTATCAGTGACATAGTCACAGGCTATGCATGTATCTACTTTGATTCTTTTAAGTGATTAAATCACAAACATTTAGAATCCCCTTCCGCAAAGTACCTCTTCATTCTTGAAGGACATAAAAGCAATTTCTTTTATACTTTGGATGGACTTATTTTTTGTAGATAAATATAATAAGTCATAGAAGTTGCTGCAGAAGCATTTTGTGTGTGTACTTCTCCAAAACTGAGTAATATTCCCTGTGCATAAATGGGAAATAAACAAGGGACTGTGCCCTTGGGTTGATTTCCAGCGTCATCTAGTTCTGCCTTATTAAAATCATCCTTTGTCTCTAAGTTTCCTGTTGTTTGTTTGTTGTGTTGTGTTTGAGACTGAGAAAATTTGTGTCCAAAAGAAACTCATTATTTGAAAATTCTGTGGGCTAATGAGCACCAGAAAGAAAGAGGTAGCTATGTAATCATGCTTTACTTTTTTCTTTCTTTTATAAATGTTTGTCTATTGCTAGAGACCTCTTTTCCCTAAAGTAGGAATTATTTTTTAAGTTCACCTTCCCCCCTCTTCACTTGCTTCCTCATGTGTGCCCCAATAATCTTCCTTGTCACTGGTTGCTCTCACAGGGGACTGAGGAGTTATGTTGGCTGCCAGCCCCAGAAGGGAATCCCTCCTCAAAAAGCCAGTGGAGAGCAGGGCTTACTAGTGAACATATGTTGTATGTCCCATCGAGAGCTGAGCTGGGAGTGACTATTTTCTGTCTGGTGTCAGCTGTCTTTATGAAGATCTTTAATGCCTTTGAGAAAGTGGCAGCCCAGGGTGATAAGGAGAATGGAAATATTTAAGTTTATAGAGCTCTTTAGCCAGTGCCTTGGGGTGCTGAGAGCACGTTTGATATATACCACTGGTAGGTGCATGTAGATACATCCCAGGAGTCACCAGAATGGAAAAGAAGGCAGCACATGTAAGCTTTGTGGTTCTTGGGTATTTATTTTTTCCTATGAACACATTTTCAAATTTGTATCTGGCTTGGACTTCCTTATGCCCTTTTTCTTAATGTTGTTTTATTTTGATGACTCAGATTTGTTATGTTTTCACTGAGCAAAAGGATGAATTCATGATGTCATTACTTCTAGAAGACTTCTAAAATGATATTGTTAGCCAGAGGTGGCGGTCAGACTCATAAATCTGTAAGGTTGCTAATGTGCAGATACATCCATGTGCTTTGAGTCTAAACAACGTACACTCCCTGGCTTCCTGAGGCTCTGGGAACTGTTCTTTTTCTTCATGGACTGGTGGCATGTATTGAACATGCTTATTTTAGTGTAAGCTTATATGTTACTTGTATAAGGCAGCTCAAAGACATACTCCTGTTCTAACTGAAGATTTTCTCTTTTAATTTAGAAACGTCTGTCTTTTCTACATTTTATTCAGAAAGGCAACCTTTTTGTCATTACCTCAGACTTTCCTTACGTGTGTGGTTCAGTGGTAAAATTCTCATTTTCCATATGGGAAACCTTGTGTGCAGCCTCCACCGTCTGTCCGTGGAAGCTTGAATGTTGCTTTGATGCTGAAATCAACCATTAAAAATCCTGTGGATCATAGCATCGGATCCACAACTGATCATTGTGGTGGGGCAGGACTGGACAGTGTTCTGTTCTGTTGTGCCTGGGGTCACCGTGAGTCTGGGGACAACCTGGTGGCAGCTCACAACAGCAGCAATACTTGTGGTTCTGTTTCCTCTCTCCTACAAGGACTTTTATCACTTTGGATGTTATTGGGGAACAGAGGGTACTGGCTTGTTTTATTATTCTTACTTTTTTCTTAACACCCTTTTGTGTTTATAGTACTGATTTCCATATTTTATTCCATAATCTAAAATCTCCATGCCTTCCATTATGCCTTGCATTTTAATGATTAAAAAAATAAGAGATATAACTTATTCTAAATGTTGCATAATTCTGAGAATATTTTACTTTTGTTGCAGGGTAGGATCCAGTGCCCTTCTGTCCTTTTTTTTTTTTTTGAATCTTTACATTTGCATGTGTGTGTGTTCATTTATCCTTTGAACCAGGCATTCTTCATACTATTTGTCAGGTTTTCAGAAAACAGCTTTTACCTCTCACTCTTCTGCCTTAGTCAGACTGCTGGAATGCATGAATAGGAAAGTACCTACGGAACCAGAAACCAAAGCAAACTAGTTGCTGTCAAGTCAACTCTGATGCGAGGTGACCCCATGTGTGTCAGAGTAGAACTGTGCTCCAGAGGGTTCTCAGTGGCAGAGTTTGAGAGGGGATTACCACGTCTTTCTTTCGAGGGGCTTCTAGGTGGACTTAAACCTGTGAATCTTTCACTTGGCAGGTGAGATTGTTAACTGTTTGCACTGCCCAGGGACTCCCTACAGAACACAGTGCTTGGTAAAAAGATTTTATTCAAAAATATTAATGTTGAGTCAGAATGTTCCAGAAACTTCTAGTGGCATACTGGCAAGGTCAGGTGGGAGAATTCTATTCTGTATGAACCTTGGGTCTCAGGACTAGCAGATGGGCGAAAAGGAAAGCAGAGTAACACCAAGGGGCCACTGCTCCTTGTCCTCTCAGCTTCCCCTGGGGCCACCACTAATCCCTCCGTCTCTCCCTGCCTTCCAGGAGCTGTGCCGGCAGCGCATGGCCGTGAGGTCCTCAGAGCGCCCTGAGCCCCTGCACACTTCCCGCATCAATAGTGTCTCCTCCCAGTTCAGCGATGGGCCAATACCCAGCCCCTCAGCTCGGAGCAGCACCTCGTCCTGGTCAGAGGAGCCTGTCCAGTCCAACATGGACATCTCCACCGGTCACATGATCCTGGTAAGACCTGTTCTTGCGTGTCAGATGAAATACCTTATAGGCATTCTCTTACAAGTACAAACTCTTAGTTCTTAATGATACATAAAACAACATTTTTTATAGTTAGCAATAAAGTTGATGACCATGTCTTACCTTTTAGGAAGTTGACAAGCAGGACAGGAAAAACCCAAGTATCAGGACTCTTTCTGCAGTAAATCCTCTAATTTAAATGACTATGAAGACTGACTTCACACTGGGATTTCTTCCATTCTTCTGCTTAGAATGCTCAGCCCCCCACCCCCACCCCTACACACACACACACAGACACACACACACTTAATAATGTGTAAGGTTTTTTATTGGTTATTTTGCTTTCAGTGCTGGGAACACACATCTATTAGTACCTACTGTGTATGCTGCTTTTTTTAGCCCTCTGACTAATAAACAGCAGTTGGTTCCTTCCTCCTCAGTTCCCAACGCACCAAGAATCATTTGGGTAAATAAATGTCACTCAGATGCTGCTTATAATTAAAAGTGACACCGCGAAGAGTGGAGGGTTTTAATGCTTCACTCCTTCGTCAAAAGACTTACTGGAGGGATGATGTCGCACAGAAGTTCTCCCTGGTGGTGGGACTTCAGAGCGGTGACCATGCCATGTGTTGTCTTTCCCCAAATTGGGTGTCCTTATTGGAGTAGCCCTCTCTGGGGTGGCTGTGGATTGCTGCTTGATGCATAATTAATGTCTGAGTTTTATTAAGAGAGATGCTTATAATTCAACACTTCTTCCTGGCTCTTTCCTGAAGGCAAAAGAGTAATGCTGTTTCGAATTTCAAGCCACAGGCACCTTCCTGTTTAGTAATTGTAAAAGCCAAAACACAAAGCATCCTAGCCATGGTATTTTTGTATTGGAGACTGCGCTTCCTGTTGATAAAAAGGAAGCTGTTTCATTGCTGCTCTGAGGCATCTTAATACTGAAGAACAAGGGAATCTTTTGTATTGTGCAGTTAATTTCCCGAGGCTTGAAATGGACCCAGCCACAAGTGGTTTTTCTTTTTGGTGTTGTTTTTTAAAACTAACTTTCATACCTGATGATTTAATAATGACATAGAATAGTGGAATTCAACCACAAAAAGTCACTAACTGGTCCCTTAAACAAACAATAAATAAGGGGGAATCTGATGCAGACCGTGCAGACCCGGTCAGGAGGTCAAGACCCTGTGGGCCCAAGCATAGTTGACCATCCAAACCATAGGCTCTGAGGATCAGACTTTAGCCACCTAGTAGACATGGCAAACTGTCCCTCATCTGATTATTCAGTACATGAGCCCTGGATATCTACAGACAAATGTAAAAACCTTCCCTAAAAGCCGAGACTGTAAATTCCAAAAAGGCAAGTCCCCCCTCCAAAA